AATATTGATTCTACCATATCATGAGAGGATTTTCATTCTTTTAAGGATAGATAGGATATAATGCTGAATTCCAGCACTAACGCCAACCATAATCAAATGAAAGAAGTAAGTAAAAATTATAGATATTAAAGTTTTCACCCATTACTCTCATTTTAAGACTGGTAAAACTGGCCTGCTGATTAAATCCCAAATCTTGGATACCAAGGTAAAGGAAGTTAAAAGGTCAAGGAAAAATCAGCTAATATTTTTGTCCTTGCCCTCTAATGTCAGCCAGAACCCAAATAATGATGGGACCCCCTCTAAGGGCTCCACAACTCTGGTGAGTCACCCAACCTCCCTATCAGGGGGATCAAGAGGACCTCAGATAACAGGAAGACAATCAGTGCACATTCTTCAAAGAAAAGGGTAATTATAGAGGGAAATGTCCCTGGTGGTTCCAAAAGAAGCCCTGTTTGCTCAACAAGACCCAGACCTATCCTGGCAGATGGCATTACTCTTATAGGAAGACTAAAGTATCCAGGGTGTTCCTCACATGTTCCCAAGAGTAATCTCTGAGGAATCCCTTCTGACCATAAGAACAGACAAGGTCAATTTTGACCAACTTAGTTTTAAACACCTTGCCAGGAGAGTATAATCAACCATAGCACTGTCATATATGGACATTTAAAGGAAAGACAATGGTTTTTCAAATGTAGCTTAAGATATACATGTGTGTCAGTCATACCAAAAGAAGTAAAGTTGGAGACTATAAAGGAAGGGTTTTTGTGTGCGAATGCCTAATAATAACTATCTCAAAGGACTCTAGAGTCACAAGATTGTCCTGAGTCAATGTAAGCATGATCTCATAAACCTACAAATCTTCCTAACCTCCTACATAGATAACCTAGGTGTTTTTCGCTGGTATGTTTACCTAACCCTGATACTTAGTCCTAAGATTGGTCTAAAATATACAATGTGGCACCCAAAAGCCCTAACTTAACTAAGATATCTCTAAATGACAAAGTTAAAGGGATAACTTTACTAAACATAGAGGTCATGCCAATGAGAAAGCTATATTAGAGAAATGAGATGACATTAGATATCTTAACTACAGATCAAGGAGACACCTCTACCATTATATTATCTAGATGTTATGTATGTTTCCAAAAGTTTGATGCTATTCCACTGATCCACTTTAAATTGAGTTTTGTGCAGAGTGAGAGTTAGGGGTTTAACTTCATTCTACTATGTATTGTTTTCCAGTTTCTCCAGCACCACTTGTTGAAGGGGATTTTTCCAATGTATGTTTTTGGTGATATTGTCTAGTATGAGATAATTATATTTATGTGGGTTTGTCTCTGTGTATTCTATTCTATTCCATTGATCTTATGCCTGTTTGGTGGCACTACAATGCTGTTTTTGTTACTATAGCTTTGTAGTATAATTTCAGGTCTTGTATTTTATGCCTCCTGCTTCATTTTTCTCCCTAAGAATTGCTTTGGCTATTCTGGGCTTCTTATTTTTCCTAATGGACTTCATGACTGTTTTTCCTATTATTGTGAAAAATGTCATTGAAATTTTGATGGGAGTTGCCTTGAATCTGTATAGCACTTTTGGTAATAAGGCCATTTTGACAATATTGATTCTACCTATACCAAATCATGAGAGGATTTTCATTCTTTTAAGGTCTTCCTCAATTCCTTTCTTTAGTCTTCTATAGCTTTTATTGTAAATGTTTTTCACCTCTTTTATTTAGATTGATTTCCAAGTATTTTATTTTTTGAGGCTATTGTGAATGGATAGTGTTCCTAATTTATTTTTCAGAAGATTCATCATTATAATATTGGAATGTGGTTGATTTATGGATGTTAATTTTGTATCCTGCTACTTTGCTGAATGCATTTGTGGGTTCTAGAAGTTTTCCATTTTGAGTTTTTTGATCTTCTAAATATAGGATCATGTCATCAGCAAACAGAAATAGTTTGAGCTCTCTCTTTTTCTATTCATATCCCTTTAATTTCCCTCCCTTGCCTAATTGCTCTGACTAGAGTTTCAAGAACTATGTTTAATAGGAGTGGTGAAAGTGGGTTTTCCTGTATTATTCCTGTTTTTAGAGGGATTTGTTTCAGTGTTTCTCTGTTTAGAATGATTTTGGCCTTGGATTTGTTGAATATAGTTTTTACAATGTTGAGATATGTTCCCTCTAGTTCTAATTTTTCTATTGTTTTAAACATGAATGGATGCTATATTTTGTCAAATTCCTTTTCTGCAACTATGGACATAATCTTCTATTTATTGTCATTAAGTATATTGAGGTAGTGAATTACATTTATTGATTTCCATATAATTAACCAAACTTGCATCCCTGAAATAAAACCTATTTGATCATGGTGCACTATCTTTTTAATGTGTTTTTATATGCAAATTGTCAGCATTTAATTCAGAATTTTTGCATTTATATTTATCAAGGATCTTGGTCTGAATTTTCTTTCTTTACTGTGTCTTTTTCTGGTTTTGGTATTATGGTGATACTGGCTTCATGGAATGAGTTTGGCAGTGTTCCCTCCTTTTCTATTTTGTGGAATAATTTGAGGAGAATTGGTATAAGTTCTTCTTTAAAGGTCTGATAGAATTTGGCTCAGAGTCCATCCAGTCCTGTTTTTTTTTTTTAACTTTTGATTGCTTCTTATATTTCATTACTTGAAATGGATCTATTTAAATTTTTCTATACCTTCATGGTTCAATTTGAGTAAGTCTGTGTCTCTAGGAATTTGTCAATATCTTCAAGATTTTTCTCTTATTGGAGTATAAGTTTTCAAAATAGTTTCTGGATTTCAGTAGTTTCTGTGGTGATATGTCATTTTTCATTTTGAATTTTATTAATATGAGTTTTTTTTCTCTTTTTGTTTTGATTAGTTTGGCTAAGGATTTATCAATCTTCTTTTTCTTTCAAAAAACCAACACTTTGTTTCATTAATCTTTTGAATTTTCTTATTCTAAATTTTATTGATTTCAGCTCTGATTTTAATTACTTTCTGTCTTCTACTGATTTTGGTGTTGGTTGGTTTTTCTTTTTCTAGGGTATTGAAATGTAATGTTAGAGTATTTATTATCTTTATATTCCCTAGTTGTGTAAACTCAATGATATAAAGTTTTCTCTTAGAACTTCCTTCATACTTTCCCAGAGATTTTAATATGTTGTATCACTCTTCTCATTCATAAGCATATTATTTAAAATGCAGATGTTGGAGTGATTTCTGTTTTTATCTTGTCATTGATTTCCAATTTCACTCCATAATGATCTGATAGAATACAAGGACTTATCTCTATTTTTTGTATTTGATAAGATTTACTTTGTAACCTAAAATATGCTTTATTTTAGAAAATGTTCCACATGCTTCTGAGAACAAAGTAAATTCAATGTTTGATGGATGAAATATTCTATAGATGCCTATTAGTTCCATATTATTAATTGTATTTTTTAGCTCTGTAGAATCTTTTCTTAGTTTATATTTGAATTATCTATTTAGAGGTAAGAGAGTTGTGTTAATGTCACCCAGTATTATAATCTTGTAATCTATTTGGTTCTTAATATTAAGAAGGGTTTGATTTATGTACATAGATGCACCATTGTTTGGGATGTAAGTACTCACAATCAATATATCTTGTCATTGGATCATTCTCTTAACCAATATGAAGTAGCTTTCTTTGTGTCTTCTGATTAATCTTGGCTCAAAGTCCACTTTATCTGATACTAGAATAGCTACCTCTGCTTGTTTACAAGTCCCATTTGAATGGTATGTCTTTTCTCATCCTTTCACCTTAAGTCTGCACATGTATTTGCCTGTGAGGTCTCTTGCAGACAGCATATTGTTGGGTCTTGTTTTTTATTATTACAATCTGCTAACCTACATCTTTTGAATGAAGAGTTCAAACCATTTAATTCAATGCTGTTACAGAGAGATAGTTTTTATTTCCTGCCATTTTGATTTATTTCCAATGTTTAAACTAGACTTGATTGTTTTTTGATTGACTATTCTTCTGGTGTAATTCCTCCATAAGCAGGCTTTCATTTTATTTTAATTTCTTCTTTATGAAATGTTTTATTGAGTATGTTTTGTAGTGTATGATTCTGTTTATGAACTACTTCAACTTCTGTTTGTCATGGAAAGTTTTTATTTCATCTTCAATTCAGAAGCTTAATTTTGTTGAGTATAATACTCTTGCTTGGCATCCATTTTCTTTCACATTTTGATATATATTATTCCAAGTACTCTTGGATTTTAGGGTCTGGGTTGAGAAATCAATCGAAATCCAGTTTATTTTACCTGTAAATGTGACCAGTTATTTTTCATTTGCAGCTCTAAAAATTCTATACTTATTCTGTTAAAAATTTTCATTATAAAGTGTCCTAAAGTAAACCTGTTCTGATTTTGTATATTTGGAGTAATATATGCCTCTTATATTTGAATTTTCATCTCATTATTAAGGTTTGGAAAAAATTCTGATATTATCTCATTGAAAACATTGTGCATCCCCTTAGCTTATATTTTTGATCCTTTCTCTACTCTAATGATTTTCATATTTAGCCTTCTGATGTCCAGATTTCTCAAACATTCTGTTCAGGGTCTTTTAACATCTTTTATTTATGGTCAACTTTATTTTCAAGTTTATATACTTTGTTTTTCAGGCCTCAAACTCTATCTTTAAAGTGATCAAATTCATTGGTGAAGCTTTGCATTGAATTTTTAATTTTGTTTATTTATTCTTTTATTTTTGGGATTTCCTTTAGTTCTTATTTAGAATCTCTATCTCTTTATTGTGTTCTCTTACTTCCTGTATTTTCTCTCTAATTCCACATCTTACCTCTTATTTTAGCTCATAGAACATTTTAACTATAAACTTTCTAAAATTTTTCCTCTAAAATTTCTTCCACTGTGTCATCAATGGAGTCAGTTGTTGAATCATTATGGGCTGTTTGGGTGTTTTTTTCCTTGCTTTTTCATATTATTTGTATGTCTACCCAACTAATGGGACAGTTTCTTTTAAGCCAAGGACAACTTTATGAGCTTCTTTCTCTTAAGTGCCCTGGATTGAGCAGATATCTATGTACTGATAAAATAAGTCAATGTGTGACTCTGATGGTTCCAATATCAGCAACACTTTGAGAGATGCCACTTTGCCCTATTTAATATATTTATTTCAGAGCCAAACTTCACACAATTCAACCTATGAGAACCAAAACCTATGGTTAACCAAGAACTAGACAAAGTGTCTGTAAATAAAGGCTGCTGTCATTCATTTAGTCCAAAAATTTATTGAGTGGCTAAGACATTCTAGGAACATTGAATGTCAAAATGAATGAAATACCAAACATGAGGAACACACAATGGGAATCTTCAAGAAGACAAGAAAATTCCAGGGACTCAAGATTATCTATTTTCTAAATGATTTGAACCTTGGCCCTCCCTAGTGGGCTAATACTACTTTTCTAAGGCTTTTGCTTCACAGAGCAAATACCCAGGACAAGACTCCATCAAATTTCCATTCCCAGCTTTTGTGTGTTCATCGGTGTTTCAGATTAATATTTCTTATAGTAGGAAAAACTTGAGAAGGATATGATGAGCAATGTTTTCTTTTTTTAAAAAAAAAGATGAGGAGTTCAGATATGGTTGGAATAGAGACATTAAAACTCTAAAAATAGTATTAATTGATCACAAACAATGTGGACAAACTGATTCTACTTGAGACAGACTTGCATCAGACACCATAGGACTTCTGTTTCTTGGTCTGATTTTTATGAATATGACTGAACCAACTTTCCTTCTTTCCTTTCACCTAATATGTACAGGTGAAAGTATTACATTGGCTTCAATATATAAGTTAATGGCAAAATAATGATTTTTCCTTCAGCTATCCTATAATTAATTACACATATACATGTTTATCCAACCGGGCAAATTTTACAACTATCTGGTTTCCCTTCAATGCCACAGAATGAGACTGAATGGAGGTAAAGATTGCAGCCGTGGTGAGTCTACAGCAGAAGATAGGACTCAGGCAAAGTATGCATGGCAAAAGACAGCTACAGCTAGCAGGATGATGCCGTTGATGTTCACTACTGTCCTCCACAAAGGCTTCTCAGAGGTGTCTGTCAGCTTCATCTTCATAGCTGCCTCTTCTTCCTTGGTCATCTTAGGTCCCTGGTCCAGCCCACAGAACAGGTCATAGGCCCACCTGAAGCACCCTTTTCTCTCCTCTGGAACTTCTGTATCAAGGGAAAGGCATAAAAGAATTATTGGATACAGAAACAGGAGAGATGAGAAGGGGCTTCCAGGAAGATGCTATACCATGAAGCATCTACATTCTGAAGAAATTTCCCAATTTTCTTGTTTTCGGGAATGGGAGTAGTATACAATTTTCAAATAAAGTTAAGTACAAGACAATGTTACTGAATGGATTCTACATCATCACAATCAACTAGCCTGAACTGCATATCAGACAAATGAAATGTATTTTGATTTAGAAAATTTAGATCAAGTGATAGTTTATGAGAGAGAAATGTTAACAATTGGCTGGTAAACTGTGGTGTGAAGAACATGGAAAACCCATCTGTGAAATATATAAACTCATAGCTCTCTGCTGTGTTACTGGAAAGCAACAAGGCTGGCATGACAGGAGTGAATTGGCTACATCTGTGAATTCTAAGCTTCCACATCAGATCCACCTGGATGGCAAAGAAAGGTCTGAACTGTTCCTGATGCAAAGTAGCAGTGATCAATAGTTTTGGGCCTTAAGATCTGATATTGCATATCAATACTGATGAATCAAACCATCCAACTGCCCCTTACACCCAAAGTGGATGCCTACCAAGGGAACTGATTCCCTTCTGAGCTCAGGTGTAGCACCAGAAGTAGACGGACCCAGTTTACAATCTCTCTCTTCCACTCACTAATATGAGATCAAACACACTATATTTTTGGCACCATCTTCAGAGAACACTCTTTTGCACTTTCTCATTTTCACAAATCTCAGACATTTTAAAAAGAGGCACAGAATTTTAGAAATGAGTGATCTAGGACATAAATGTATCACAATTGGTACCAAGTCCAGTCTCATGGCCTTGTTAATTCACTTCTCTTATCTTTTGGGTATCTGTAAAAGTGGATAAATATTGACTTCTTTATTGTATTAATGAAAATTTAATGAGATATTTAATTTAATGATTTAATGAGAGGGAACCCAGCACATAGTACATATTAGTAAGTAAAATCTCTTCCCCCTCTCTATCTTTTCTCTCATACAAGAGACATACCCTTTTGTACCTCTCCCATCTGTTGTATTCCAATGACATAGGGTCACTGACTAGCTCAGGTGACAAATAAGTACATGGTTATCTGAGTTAACATAAAGTTAAGTGGTCTTGGGAAACTCTCTATCTTATTTTTCTCATCTATAAAATTAGAAGACGTATGTTTGCATTATCTGCCTTAAACTATGATATGGATATGGATACAAAATGTATCATTAAATGAGTAAGTTATTTATAATTAAATGTTATGATCATGTCATTATCAATCATATGATAATGGTGGTGGTGATGACGATAAGGGGATGGTGATGCAATTTTATTCTCTTAATGTTACTAGAATCTTCCCCATAATGCTGTTTCTCAGAGAATGGTGCTTGTGACACTCAGTCCTTTTTCTTTTCTATTTTGAGACAGCATCTTATTTAATTGCCCACGATGGTCTCATATTTGCAATCCTCTTGCCCCAGCCTTTTGAATCACTGTGATTACATGTATGCATCACCAAACCCAGACCCATAAACTAGATGTGCAATAGTCTACTTTCTTACTCTGAGTTAAAATTAGATGGATCCTTGAGTTCATCAGTTTCATATCTCTTCTCTCATGCAAAAATTATCTCTTCTTCCATATTAACACTTCTTGATACTCAAGGCTCCTCATTCATGCCCTTCTAAAATCTGATATTCTCACACAGTAGGTAAACACGTTTTAAAGTAGAAGAGGAAAGAGGGCATGCTCACGGGCTAAGGTGTAGTTTTGTTGTACAGCAATGGTCTAGTAGGTGCAAGTCCTTGTTTTAATTCCCAGTACTACACAAAGGAAGAGAAAAAGAACAAGTATATGGGGGCATGCTCATGCCTGGCTGCTCCAGGAAAGCAGGAAGGAACTGCCTGATGTCAGCATCATGGACAGCTGCCTGTGGCTCCATGTTCCTCCAGACCCACAGAGATGCTGGTTTCAGAACTAAAACGTTCTTGGAGATTAAGAGCATATTGTATCAGGGCCAAGACCATTAACAGTCTCTCCCTCTCAGTGCCTCAATTTGTATCTGTAAAGTGAGATAAAAAAAATCATAAGACCTTTATGGCCCTTTCCAGAGCTAGAATTCTATGACATTCCTAATGGCCAGATTCAAAATTTGCTCTGCTTCATCTGGTGCTCTACTTCACAAGGAGTGATGAGCACTCCAGTCCAGTACCAGCAAAAGCATCGGATCTTGAGCTCCCCTACTTCTACACACCACATACATCCATTCTTCATGTGTGTATCTTACCCATATGGTGAGGAAAACTTCCAATATTGAAGCTAAAGAACACATTAATTTAAAGGGAAAGCTTCTAGGCACTAACTAAGCATCATCTCAGGCTTCCAGAGAAATTTGATTTTTTAAGTCATGTATGGTAAGACATAAAATCCCAATAGTCTCTATTTTTTTATTCTCTTTATGTTACTAGAATCAAACAAAGCTTCCTCCCCCATCTGTTCTGTTTCCAAACTATGTCAGAAGAGCCTGGCCCTTCTTTTACCTATGACTATGCCCCAAAAGCATGGTCAAGTCAAGGTGGCAAATTTCTCATGCACTGATTCACTGAGCACTGTAAATTTGAGGGGTAAGGCAGCTGAAATGGCCCTGTACCTGCCTCCCTGACCTCAACCAAGCCTCATAGTAAACTTTCCAAAATACACTTATCCATCTCATCTTTCCGCATTCCTCCTAGGGAAGGGATCTGAGCTCTGATGAAGGCATTTAGTGAGAGCTTTACATAGTCTTGCTGTTGTAAGAGTAACTTTTTTTTGGTACCAGGGATTGAACTCAGGGGCACTCGACTACTAAGCCATATCCTCAGCCCTACTTTGTATTTTATTTAGAGACAGGGTCTCACTGAGTTGCTTAGTGCCTTGCTTTTGCAAGGCACTTTGGCTTTGAACTCATGATTCTCCTGCCTCAGTTTCCTGAACTTCTGGGATTACAGGTGCGCACCACCACACCCAGCAAGAGTAAGTTTTTTATGGCTTGGAAATCAGTTTTGACTCATAAATCACCTATTTCAATGGTATCCTTCTGTGTTTCTTGGAGGTCCTCCTCTTCTGCATCCAAGTCAATACGTTCCTCTGTGCTGTTGCGCAGACTCCAACAGAGACGATAGAGCTGTGGGAAAACAGAGAAAAAGTTAACATAAAAATCCAGTGTCTTCGGCCAAGCAGTAGGAGAGCAAAGAGATAACCATCAAGAAAGGAAAAGGAATGTGGACTCTTAGTACCAACAAAGAACATAGATTACATTTCTCACCCACAGCATAATCTCTCAATATGTTGGAAATTTAGATGTAAATCATACCCGTGTATACAGAAGTTAAAGACTGCCTCAAATAAAGAAATATTTATTCAGTGATTGTTTTTACACATGATAAATGAATTGTTCCTTTTGGCACTGATACTAGGAAGTAAGATAGACAAAACAACCATTTGTCCAGATCAGCAGTGTGAGGTCATAATTTTATACTATGTCATATTACGAGGATAAGAATATGCAGAGGTATACATCAAGTTGGTAGAATAGAGACAGCCAGCACTAGTTTGCTCCTCCATGGGATGAAAACAAAGAAAAACATTGTGTAACTGCTCACAGAAGTAAGGAACTATGAGTGAACACTGGAAATTGATAGCACAGAAAATTAAACCTGATGAATTCCAGAGACAACAGAGAATAACAAAGCAAAGGAGGTAGAATACCTCAGCTCCTGGTGCCTGACACCCTGGTCAGGGGAAGGCACTGATTCCTGCAAGGAGGTAAAATCTACAGAGAAAGAGTCATGGCATGGCATAGAAGGATGCACCCTAAAGACTAACAGTTTATATAAATAGATGAACTGAAGTCTGCTTAGCAAGCTAGCTTTAAAGAAGGAACTCAACCGTATCTCTCAGCAAACCCTCAGGATGCTATGGCAAGGATCCATCTTGAGTAGGGTCCTATTGTGAGGGACTAAACAGCTCTGGGATCAGAAAACTCAGAAAAATCACATTTTAGTGTCCCTATGAACGTTCCTATGCACTGACTGGGTAGGCAGTGGCCAGTATAACTTGGGGGAGTATCCCTGACAAAAGTTTCTGAGAAATTTATGCAGGGGTTTATTTATGCTTTACTTATGCAGGGAACATAGACTACAATACATTCACGAGAATGGAGGAAACAGTAATTCAGCAGTTCTCCCTTCTGTTACTTGAAGTTACCCCAGAAGTATATTATTTTGTGTGGGAGCCAGGTCTGAAGTCATGAGGATAGAGGTCGGCAAATCGTTTGGTTTCCGTAACCAAAAGTACAGAACAAAGAATATTAAAGGCTGCAATAGAGCAGTGCAAACTCACATGTAAAGGCAAACCTATTAGAACAAAAGCAGATTTCTTGGTGGAAAATATTATCACCAGGAGGGTATGGACTGATGTATACTGAAAGAAAGTAAATGCCAATCTATATTAGTATACCCAGCGAAGTTATTCTTCACATTTGAATGATAAATAAGCACTTTCCATGATAATCACAAACAAAGGGAGTTTATAGCCATGAAGCCAGCACTGCAGAAGATACTTAAGGGACTTCTATACCTAGAAGAGGAAAAATGATAACCACAATCATGAGAACACAGGAAAGAATAAATCTCACTAAAAGAGTTGATAAGCAAATGAGAATTAGGAAAAAACTAAATATTATTAATATGTAAAACTACCAATCTTCTAAGATGAATAAGAAAAACAAATATAGAATATCCAAAACTACCAGAAGATAAACAAAAAATTTAGAAACCTGTACACACTTCTCAACAAAAATAATGAATGTAAATGAATCCTCCAATTAAAAAATACATACTGGCCAACTGGATTAAAAAACAAGATGTAACAATCTGCTGCATACAAGAAACTCATGTCATAATTAAGGGCATGAACAGACTGAAAATGAAAGGATAGAGAATGAAATTTCATGAAAATGAAATATGAAAGCAAATAGCAGTATTTATTTATGATTTACTTTTAGCAAGATTTGCAGAAGAGACAAGGAAGATCACTACAGACTTATAAAGGGAAAAATTCATCAAGAAGATATAATGATTATAAATATATATGCACAAAATGTCAGGGTTTCCAGTTTTGTTAAACAAAGACAATTGAATATAAACAAAGAGATAAGCTTAAATACAATAATAGTAGATGATTTCAATATCACACTCTCAGCAAGTGATAGATCATCCAGACAATAAACCATTAAAGAAACATCAGAGTTAAATTATACTACATATCAGGTGGACTTAATATACAACCACAGAAATTTCACACCAAAACTGTATAACACGTATTTTCATAAGTACATGGAAGATTTTCCAAAATAGATCATATATTAGGCCATAAATCAAGTCTTACAAATGATAAAAAGTTGAAATAATTTGTTATATCTAATCAGATCATAATTTGGTGAAACTAGAATTAAGAGGAAGAGGAACTACAGAAATTATATGAACACATGGAGATTGAACAATATACTTTTTTTGGTGGTATGGGGTTACTCTACCACTGAGCTACATCCCCAGCTCTATCTTTAATTTTATTTTGAGACAGTATCTCACTAAGTTGCCCAGGTTAACTTCAAACTTGTGATCCTTCCTGACAAGTATCTGGGATTATAGGTGTCCACCACCACACCAAGCTGATAATACACTTTTGAATAAACAGTGGGTCATTGAAGAATCTGGAAGGAAATCTAAAAATTTCTAGAATCAAGTGAAAATGGAAATATAACATACCCTTATCTTGCAGGATACAATGAAAACAGTATGAAGAGGAAAATTTAGAGCTATGAGTGTTTGCATTAACAACAACAACAAAACCATAGAGATCATAAATAAATAACCTAAACATGGCAAGGCCAAGAACAAACTAAACCCCCAATCAGTAGAGTACAGAAATAATAAAGATTAGGGCAAAAATAAATAAATTAGAGACAATATGAATGATACAAAGGATTGATGAAACAAAGAGTTGGTCCTATGAAAAGCTAAAATTCACAAGCCCTTGACTAAATCTACCAAAGATTATAAGATTAAAAAATACATACTGGCCAACTGGATTAAAAAATAAGACCCAAATAAATAGAAAGAGATAAGAAGGGGGATATACAACTGATACCATTGAAATTCACTGGATCATTTGGGAATATTTTTAAAAACTTTATGTAAAACAAATTAAAAAATATCTAATGGACAAATTTCTGGACACATATGACATTCCATAATGAACCAAAATAGAAAATAAAAGATAAAATTAAAATAAACAGCTAAATAGATCAATAAGAAATGAGATTGAAATAGTCATAAAAAGTATTACAACAAAGATAAGCTCAGAATAGATTCACTGCTGAATTTTACCAGACTTTTAAAGAAGAAATAATATCAACTACCAAAGCTCCTCAAAATATTTCATAACTTAGAAAGGGAAGGACCCTTTTAAACTCATTCTACAAAGCCAGTATCACTCTACTATCATAACATGATAAGGACACAACACATATACTCATAAGGAAACTATAGGTCAATAACCCTGTCATCATAGTGCATAAAATCTCAATAAAATACTTGAAAATTGAATCAACAGCACATTAAAAGATCATACAGCATGAGCAAGTTAGTTTTATTCCAGTGATGTAAGTCTGATTCAACACACACAAATCAATAAATGCAATACAGCACACAAATAGAACCAAAGACACATATCACATAATCATCTCAATAGATTCAGAAAGGACCTTTGAGAAAATTGTGTATCTCTTCATGATAAAAACTCTGATTACTTTAGGGATAGAAATATCATATGTCAATACAATAAAGGCTATATATCACAAGCCCATAGCTAACATCATACTGAAAGGAGAAAAATAAAATCATTTCCTCTAAAACTAGAAAAATACAAGAATGTCCACTCTTATTCAATATAGTATTTTTTTTAAAGAAAGAGTGGGGGAGAGAGAGAGAATTTTTTAATATTTATCCCCCAGTTCTCGGTGGACACAACATCTTTGTTTGTACGTGGTGCTGAGGATCGAACCTGGGCCGCACGCATGCCAGGCGAGCTTGCTACCGCCTGAGCCACATCCCCAGCCCATCAATATAGTATTTGAAATTTCATCCAGAGCAATCAGGCAAGAAAAACAAATAAAAGAGATACAAAGAAAAAAATGAGGAAGTCAGATTTTCCCTCTTTGCAGATGGTGCAATTCTATATTTAGAGAACCCTAAACCCTAAAAGCTTTTAGAACTGATAAACAAATTTAACAAAGTAGCAGATACAAAATCAAACATACAAAAGTCAATAACTTTTTTATACATCAAAAATGAACTTCCTGAGAAACAAATTAGGAAAAAAAATCTCTCACTTTATAATAAGTGAGAAAAAACAAATAAATAATATACCTAGGAATAAACTTGACCAAGATGATAAAAAACCTACAATGAAAATTTCAAAGCCCTGAAGAAAAAACTGAAAAAGACACTAGAATGTGGAAAAACACCACTGTACATGGATTGGAGAATGAATATTGTTTAAATGAGTATACTACAAAAAGTGATCTACAGATTCAATATAGTCCTCATAAAAATACCAATGACATTCTTCACAGAACTAGGAAAAACAATCCTAAAATTCATATGAAAGCACAAAAGACCCCTAACAGCCAAAGCAATCCTTGGCAACAGGGCAACACTAAGGGATGATAATTCCTGGTTTCAAAACATACTACAGAGCAATAATAATAAAAACAGAATGGCAATGACATACAAATAGAAAGGTAGTTTGATTAAATAGAATAGAGGACACAGAAATAAACTCATGCATCTTTAGCTAATTGATTCTCAACAAAAGTACCAAAAAATATGTTGGAGAAAAGACAGTCTCTTCAACAAATGATGTTGAGAAAACTGAATACCCACATGGAGAAGATTGAAACTAGGGTCCTATCTCTCATCCTGTATAAAAAATAAACTCAAATAAATAAATAAATAAATCCAAAATGAATCAAAGATATTAATGTAAGACCTGAAGCTTTGAAATGACTAGAAGAAAGCATAGATATTGCTACAAGCAACAATTTCCTTGAATAGGATTCCAATAGCCCAGGAAACAAAAGAAATAATTGAAAAAAAGGATCACATCATATTAAAAAGTTTCTGCACAATAAGAGAAACAATCATCAGAGTGAAGAGATAACCTACAATATTGGAGGAAACAAAATCTTTGCTAGCTATTCATTTGACAAAGAATTAATATCAAGAATATATAATTTTTAAAAGTTAACAAAAGAATAAGCAATCTAATCAAGAAATGAGCAAATGGTGTGAAAAGATACTTCTCAAGAGAAGAGTATGGATGGCCAATAAATATATTTTTAAATGATATATAATCTTTATTCATCAGGCAAGTGCAAATCAAAACTATACTGAGATTCCATCTGACTGAAATATAGTCAGAATGGCTATTATAAAAATTAATAAATAAATAACAAATGTAGGCAAAGATGTGGAGAAAAAAGAACCCTTTTACAATTTTGGTGGGAGTGTAAATTAGCTCTGTCACTATAGCAATCAGTATGGAGTTTCCTTAAAAAATTAAAAATAGAATTACCAAACAATCCAGCTATATCAATCCTGGGTATATATCCAGAGGAAATAAGTCAGTGTACCAAAGAGGTACCTGTACACCCATGTTTATTACAGCACCATTCATAATTGTAAAGATACTGAATCAGTCCAGGTGCTCATCAACAGATGAATGAATTTTAAAAATGGTATATATACACTATGAATATCATTCAGTCATAAAGAATAATGAAATCATGTCATTTTCAGGAAAATTGATGGAATTGGAGGATATGTTAAGTGAAATCAGCCAAAAAAAACACAAAAAACAAGTAGGGCATGTTTTCTTCTGTCCATTGGTAACTACCTTGCTTTCTCTACTTTAAAAGGAAACACAGAACTAAATGTGTTTGGGGCCACAAGTTTGAGGCATGGGGAAGCAGGTGATAGCTCTATGAAAGAAAGCCTGTGACAGATACAGTCAATAAACATCATGCTGATTTTGCAGTAATGAAATCAGTTTTTATTTGACATATAGATTTGTCACGGCTTTTGGAAATTTGGCAATGATGTTGAAGGTCTCTAATGGTCCTATAGTTCTTGTATTCAGGTATGCATAAATAAAGTATTAATAAAAACTTTTCTCTTTTTGTATGGGCATATATGATCTTGGGTTAATTTCTTATCTCTGTTCCCTTGGAAACCTGAAAAAGGTGGAATGCCATTTGAATTGGTTTTTCAGGCTTATATTGCTTATAGGCCCATAATTACTCATTTTTTCTAGATTGGGAGGGATACGAATGAACCCTAAACCAATGGAAGCATCTTTATTTAGAGAAGAGTACTTTTAATTTATGAAGTATTAAATCAATTGGACCTTGATATTGTGTTATGGTTTGAATGTCCCCTAGAAAACTTATGTTGAAATTTAACTGCCATTGTGTCAGTATTAACAGGTGTCAGCATACTACAATGATACAGGCACATCACAGTCTATAGCAGTGCAATTAACAATAGTCAAATTATGGAACAATCCCAGGTGCCCATTAACAGATGAATCAATAAAGAATATGTGGCATTGCTACAGGGCCTGACTCGGGCCTACCTGAAGGAATGTTTATCTTGCTCATTTTGCGGCAGGGAAGTCCTACCATAGAATGCTATGTTTTGGGACAGAGTGCTGTCACAACTCTGGCAAGTACCATTTCCTTGCTCCTTTGACAAGGAGTTTTTCCCCTGTTGGTTCAAGGTAAGCCTACATGGCAGTTTCTAACCTCTTGGTGTCTGGACTCCTGTAAGATGATATGTTGTGCATCACTTCTGGACTATTATTACTGTTATATGTAAATTGGCACACACCCACTATAAAAGCTATTTTTTCTGTGCAATAAAACAGACACTGTTTTCTGAAACCATCTCTGGAGGGGTTTCTCCATGCTCTCAAGCTCCCCACAGTTGACACTGGAAGGGCAGGACCCTCAGCATGGCATGTATACACAATAGCTTTTTAATTTTTTTTAGTTGTTGATAGACTTTTATTTTTTATTTATTTATATGCAGTGCTGAGAATTGAACCCAGGGCCTCACACATGCCAAGCAAGTATGCTACTGCCAGGCCCCAGCCCCAGACCCACAATGGCTTTATACTGAGCTATAAAGGAGAATAGAATAATGTCATTTGCTGGTAAATGGATGTAATTGGAGAACATCAGGCTAAGTGAAATAAGTCAGACTCACAAAGTCAAAGGTCAATTGTCTTTGCACACAAGCAGAAGTTAGAAACAAGGGGAGAAGAGGGTTGAGGAATCCCATGAAGACAGAAAGGAGATCAGTAAGGAAAAAGAAGGGGATTAAGGGTGACAGAGGATGGAAGGGAAAAGGGAGGAACTGCAGAATGAAATTGATCAAGTTATGCTATGTAAATATATGAGTATTCTACATTCAATTCCACCTTCATGTATATCTATGAAGCACCAATTAAAATCAATGAATAAACAGAAGTAAGTCCAGTAGAGTAGAGGAAGAAAATGGGCAGGGAGGAGACAAGGAAAAATGGAAGTACTGGGGATTGAAATGAAACAAATTATATTCCATGTATGTAGGCATATGTCAAAATAAACCCCACTAATATTTATAACTATAATGCAAAAATAAGAACATTTTTTTAAAAAGGGATAATTAGATAATGAGGAATCTGTTCTTATGAGTGGATTGAATCCACTATTATGGGAGCAATTTTCTGATAAAAGGATGAAGTTTGCCTTCGATTAATTCATATCCCTCTCTCATTCTTTATTGCCAAATAATACCTTCCATTAGGTTATGATGTGGCAAGAGGGTCCTCACCAGATGCACCCATAAATCTTAGACTTGAGGCTTCAAGGACAGAAAATGAAATAAACTTTTATTACTTATAATCTACCCAATCTGTGGCATTCTGTTATAGCAGCAGAAAACAGACTAAGATATATTGTTAGAAATATCTTAAATTTTATAAAAAACTCTTTGGCAGCTTAAGTGGAAAATATCAAAAGGTAAAACATACTTCTGATTTCCCTGAGTTTAGAAATTTTTGTAACCAGGTCTCAGAAGCTTCAACTATGGGACTGTTATAAGAAACACCAGATCCTATTTTGAACATAGGTTTCTGAGCCATGGTAGCCCCATGCTTGCTCATGTGATCTCATTTCCCTTGCACATGTACTATCACTCAGGGAGCAGGATCCAGAGACAACCCCCCTGGACTGAAGTGTGGACTGTCAAAAGATTCCCATTAAAAATGCACTCTTGAAACTTCCTAGCTGGCATACCATGTTTCCTGTCCTGCGTCCTTCTACACAAAACTAAGGGCAAATACAAATCATTTTATTCATGCAGGTGGGAGATGTCTAGTTGAGCTGAGGTCAATTGAGAGTGTTGCAACATGAATGTGAAACAAGGACAGACGAGGTCTTCTGAATGGATACTCACATGCACATCTGGAATGGGCTTAGTGAAGAGGGAGATGACCACGATGGTGATGATAGAAATGAAAAAGAGGAGAATGGCAAAATATAAGTAGTGGACCCCACAGATAATGGTGGGACAGTTGCTGGGCTCCACGCAGCTCCCAGTTCCATAGGCAAACTCAGTAATCATACGGGAAATCCCAATCAGAAATCCTAGGATGAGTCCCCAAAAGGCTCCCTGTGAAAGAAAATCCTGAATTAATGAGTACTGAACCCTCAAAACAGAATTCTAACATTCCAAGAGCTGAGTGGGCAGAGGCAAAGGAATAAAGCTGAGAGAAATGGTAGCTCTAGACCATCTGAAGCCAGACCATCATGGTGCAGGACAGGGCTGGGACTGTTAAGTCAGGCTTCCAGGGGGTCTCTCTATCTTGTTTCAGCAGCATGATTTCACCTGCATCATTAAACAAGGACTCATAATATAATGGGGTAAAGTGATTAATAACTCATATGGAATTTTAATCTCCTCTAAATTCCAAAAATTCCTTTTAACTTAAAAAAAAAATATTTGAACTCTCCACCTCAACTATTGTCACCACCTGCATCCAGATTTAGGTCAGTTCAGATATAAAGTGATCACTTGTAAAGCATTTTGTCTACCTTGAAGACACCAAAAAATTAATTAGGTATCTGCGGGGTAGAAAAAGTAACTTTTCCATATATAAATAGAATAAACTGGAGAGAATTGGGTGGGTTCACCCTCGTTGTTGTGGCCACAGCACTGTGAACACATGTCCACGTCAGACCAATTTTACTGCCATGCAATCACTCGTTCATTTCTCTGCCTCTACATTTTAACTGGGAATTTTTCCAGAGAAGGAACCAAATTTCATTCACTTAATGTAGCTAGTGCCTGGCATCTGAAATTGTCTATTAAATCAATAAATGAGAAAGAAAAAAAATTTCCCATAATGTATTCCTTTAAAAAATACTTTTATTTTAGTTACTATGAATAATGCTTCTTTTTTGGCAATTAATTTCTATTCCATTACTTTTAGTCTCAAGTGGCTTTTAAAAAATTGATAGCCATTGACCTTTTATTGTGCATTTTAGGATGTTTAGCATATCCTTGACCTCTAACCACTAGGTGTATGCAGGGTTCTCTGAAGCAGAATTATCAAAAATGTTTACAAACATTGCTCTTAAAGGGAGTGAAAAAACACCTCCAATATAGTATGACTATGGTCTATCTCAATTCATATTTTTATTTTTAAAAGTGCTGCCATTGCCAAATAGGATATTCTTGTGGCCTGTTGCAGTACCAACCTGGGCTTAGACATAAGTTTAAAATTTTATTTTATAATATTCTAGGGAACCAGCTTTCTGCTAATCCCTATTGTCCAAAGAAGTATGTGTATATATATATATATATATATATATATATATATATATATATATCCTGTTTTATTAATTTCTGGTTTAATTATGATCTTTCCAAGGTATCTGCGTGCCCAGTTTTGTGTAACTAGAAAATCTAGATTATCTTAAAGTAACAATGTTGATCTGCTCTTACAGAATTTAAAAAGAACTGGTTTAAGGATCAACATTATTGCTTTAAGATAATTGTCAACTTTTGTGTTTTATCAGGGTAATTTATTGTGTCTATTAGATTTTCATTACTTAGGGACACTAAGTCTTAAAAGAATTATGGTTTGTTTAAGTTCCTGACTGTTGAACACCTTTTAAATGATTGCTTCATAACTCTGTTTAAATAAACAACTGCTATTTTAGGTTATTTTATTACATCTAATACCCTAAATATATGTGACTAGAAATGTGCCTACATCTGAGGCTTAATATGTTTGTCTAAATTTTGTATAAATCTTATAGAGAAAAGCTTGTAGAATTAAAGCTATGTAGGTTTAATATAGGAAAGGTGACCAATAAGTGTTCTCCTCTATAAAATATATGTTGTATCTAGAAATTAAACATAAATGGTCAATGAAACTTTTGTATTTGGTCTGCATCTGCTTGCTTTACTAAATATATTTTTTGTTATTCTAAAAAAAGACTATACCTGTTGTGTTTTATGCACCTCAAAACTGGGTTACTCCACTGAGGTACATTCCTGATGCAGTATACATCTGTTTCTCTCCTTTTGAAATGAGGAAATGTCTCCAATGAAAACTATGTTATCAATTTTATTCTTTTGGATGGTAAGCTACATGGTCAGCACTGCTGCTCTTTCTCAGCCCTTCCCAGGTAGATAGATGGTTGGAAAGAGAGACAGCTGAGCAACACCCCAGTTGTTCAGCATATCCAAATACATCTTTCTCATTGTGCTTTAAAATCAGCAATGGCACACTACTGTTGGCTTATATTCTTTAACCTGGCTTTCAAAGTGACTATTCCTATTCTTTGACCTGCTTTTCCAGCTGCATCTTCCATTATCCACAGACTCTCTCTCTCCAGCCAGGTAAGATTCCTTGCAAGTCCCTTGCCTTCTCCTTCTCCTTTCCTTTCCACATTTGGGCAAGGCTCTTCTCTCTGTCTTAAATTCTCTCTCTGTCTTTTTAAATACCCCCCAGTCCCACAGTTTCCAAGGCACCTTCCCTGACCATTTTAGCATGTGTCGATTGATATAGCCTTTCCTGAATTTCTTCCTACTTAAATTTTAAAAAAATTTGTTTGTAGCTGTAGATGGACAGAATGCCTTTATTTTATTTGTTTATTTTTATGTGGTGCTGAGAATCGAACCCAGCACACTGCACATGCTCCCAAGTACTCCATCACTGAGCTACAGCCCTATCCCCTCTTTGTACCTACATTTTGAACCACATTTTTAAAATGCTTCAATTCTTATCTATCTCACATTGTTTTTCAGATAAAATGTTTGAGTAACAGGACCTTTTCCTTCACTGGGTCCTGAAGAGTGCTGGCTGAAAAACCAAGTTCACACCACAGCCACTGGAAGTAACTTGTGCTAGGATTTCCTGTGGAGCTGCTCACCCAGAGACTACAAACTTCATAGGAGGCACCAAGGTTGGATAGAAAATGTACAATATGAGTTGAGACCTTGTACCAAGAAGGACAGGGTTTTTAGAGAGAAAGAAGACCCAGTACTAACTCCTAAGGAGTTTATTCCAACTCTTAGAGAGTCCCCATGATCCATAGAGACTTTCCCATATAAACCTTTAGAGGTAAATTCATTTCTTCTTAAGATCTCTGGGAAATAGAATCCCTTCCACAGAGAATATACCCATAGAAAATTCTGTGGCAGACTGGCTTTTCTGAACACGTCAAAGCAATACCTACAGGTTCAGTGATTCTCTTCCAGAAAACAGCAAGCAGGAAGACAGCTGCAATGGGTGGTCCCAAGTAACTGGTAATGGACTGGATATAATCGAAGAGCTGCCCACTTTGCGCTGACTGCACAATGGGCACCCAGGCAATGCTGATGGCAATCAGAAAGAGAATGAACAACCTGAAATCAAATTCCACACAACAGAATGTTAATATAAAAATATATATTATTTTATATACCACACATATATATATATAAACATCATTAGCAAAAAAATATATATACATATATATATACATATATATGTATATATATACATATATATATACACACACATACACATATGAACAAATACACACATATATAACATGACCACAGCAAGAAAAATTAATAAACAAATTCATTCTTGAGTATTTTTTCCTCCCTCTTCATCTGTGGCTATGGGTAAATGAAACACACTTGGTTTTCAATAGTTATTTATTGAAATCATTCCCATACAAAAATCCCACTTAGGGAGGCAGTAGAGTACAGGGACAAGGTTATATACTTTGGAGCAAGACAGTCCTGGATTAAAATTTTTTCTATCCTTGTGTGATATAGGACACATTGCTGAGCTTCTCTCTAAATCTCAAATTTTCCAACTCTAGACATAGAAAAATGTGACTGACCACGAAAAATTGGAATAAGCATTAGTGAGAGTAAAATGCCTCACAAATAGTAGGAATTCAATAAATAGTTAAAAAAACCTAGTGTTATTATTTTCTCCTCCTTCTTCCTCATAATAAAATTTAAAATAAGCCAAAGAAAGTTTATAAAGGAATAGTCTAGATAGGAAGGGACACAATTAGGTATTTCCAGCTCTCTTCCTCTTGAGTTTTACCATGTCCTAAAAAGATTGGAGATTCTTTTATAAGCTCTTATTACTTGACTCTTTATTTAATTATAAATTAAAGGGATCTTGTGAAAAATAGAAGGAAGAACAGCAGAATAGAGAAAGAGGATTGAGGAGAGGAAGGAGGGATGGGAAAGGGGAAGAACAGCAGAATGAAATTGACCAAATTAAGAATATACCACAATGAAATTAATTTTGTGTATAACTGTAATGCTTCTCTTGAAAAAAAAAGAACAAGGGCTGGAGTTGTGGCTCAGTGATAGAACACTTGCCTGGCATGTGTGAGGCCCTGGGTTCAATCCTCAGCACCACATATAAATAAATAAAATAAAAGAGCCATTGACAACTAAAAAATGTTTTTAAAAAATCCAACAAAACAAATAAATGGAAAAAGAGCACTAGAATAGGAGAAGGGAATCAGGAAGAGGGAGAAGAGGAGGGAAAGGGAAAGAACTGGGGATTGAAATGCAGCAAATTATGTTATATGCCTCTAAGAATATGTTCCACTATTATCTAAAACTATAATACACTAGTAAAAGCATTTTTTTAAAAGCTTTGATTCACTTATCTCACATGTATTTAAGGCAAAAGAGTCTTAAACTGATATTCTTAAATTTGTGTTTTTATATATTTCTCACTCTGAAATTTCCTCCCATTGCCCCCTATTTACCCCAATTCTACCTACCACTTTGAACCCAGTTAAGGTTCTTCCTCCTCCAGGGCCCTTTCCCAAGTATGCCATACTATGCTCACTTTTCCCTTATCTGAGTCCCTGATTGCTCTTACAGTCCACACAGCAGAGTTTCAAACTGTTTCACATCACTGTGAGCTTGTACAGGAGACTGAGATAAGCCACAAGATAGTAGTTATGGGATGTAAGGAAGTGTGAGACCCAACATACTCTTAGGACTAGGGGATCCAGACCTGTACAAAGAAACAAAGTGATCTTCTTTTCCATTTTGCACTTGAGTCTTACAAATACCAAGGAAAGTTAGTAAGTGCCTTTTTAAGGGAAAGCCAGTCAAGGTAGTAGTACTATTTTCTATGATACAGAGTAATAGATTCTGAGCTGGTCATATCTCCCTTGGCTGCCTTTCTTTAGCCCAGAGACCTATGAAGAGACAGCCCATATCCCTCCTGAACTCATTGGGAATCTTTTATTTAACTAACATCCCAGGGTTTGTTCCACCTGACCTGACAAGAGTGCTTTAGCCCCATGAAGAGATATATCAGCAGTCAGGCACATACTGTAATCCCAGTAACTCAAGAGGTTGATTTATAGAATCGCATTTGAGGCCAGCCTGGACAATAGAGCAAGACACTGTTGCAAAATTTAAAAAAAACAAAAATGGTTGTGATAGTAGGTCATTGGTAGAGCACCCCTTGGCAACATTCCCAGTACTAGGGAGATTAAGGAGAGAGGGAGCTGGAGAGAAAGAGAAGAGACACATTTCTATGAACCCTCTGTCCAGAGCATTTGCTTAATGGCTAATCATGATAATGAACACACCTGATCCATTTGACAATTTTTGATATTTTCAGAGTCCTGTTGTGTTTATTAACTCATTTATGACAGTAAATGGGCTCAATCTTTATCACATATAAATAAATAAATAAATAAATAAATAAATAAATAAATAAAATAAAAGACCCATTGACAACTGGTTTGATGACCAGAGCAATTTATGACCTCCAATTCTCCAATTTAAAGTTAAATACCATTGAAGGGCAAATATAACAAGCCACCAATGTCACTCTACCAGCACCATCCAATCTTTCCTAACTGATCATTCTCTGATCATTTAAGCTTTTACATGATGGATGACTCTGCATTTACCTTCCTGCAATCATGAGCTCTTTCTCAGATGCTTGCTTCCGGATCTTCGTGTAGATGTCCATGGTGAAGAGGGTGCTGGCACTGTTGAAGATGGAAGTTAGGGAGCTCATGAGAGAAGCCATCATAACCGACAGCATCAGGCCTCGCAATCCTGGAAGACAAGGAAGTTCTGAGTGGCACATCTAGTACTTCAGCAGGACTCAACTTTTGTTTGCTTCTGAAACTGTGCCATCTTCTCCAGTTCATTTTTCCAGAAAGAATAAATGTTTTAATTTGGGCATAGTGGTGCACACCTATAATCCCAGTGGATCAGGAAGCTGAGGCAGTGAGGATCACAAGTTCAAAGCCAGTCTCAGGAATTCAGCGAGAACCTAAGCAAGTTGGAGAGATCCTGACTCTAAATAAAATATTTTTTAAAAGGGGTGGGAATGTGGCTCATTGGTTAAATACCCCTGATTAAATACCTGCTACCAAAACAAAATAAAACAAAAAGAATAAATGTTTTAAGAAATGGGCCATGGCTTTAAATTGTAATCCCATGACAACCTACAAAGCTCTAAATAAAAACCATATCTGAGGTAAATACTTTGCAATTGAATAATAATGATGGTGATGATGGTGGTGCTGGTACTTCCACTTGGGGTTTTATATGACCTCTCAATCTCAAAAGATTAATGATACAGCACACATATATTTAAATAAGGATTCAAAAGATAAGGTTATCAAGAAAATGAAAAGTCAGCAACAGAATGGGAATAAATATATACAAATCATCTATTTGGTAAGGACCTACTATACAGATCATATAATGAACTATCATCCAGATTCTCCTCCCCCAACCTGTGTGGGCCCAGGCCCAGGGTAGACACAGGTTCACCCCTGGCCACCTGGGAGCCCAGGCCTAACCCACTTCAATCTTGGGACACTGCAGCCAATTACATAGCCTTCTCCATGCAGTAGTCTCTACTTTGCTACAACAGACAAGGTCTAGAAGTGGCTGCATCTTGGAGCAGGCCTCCCAAAGCCAGTGTAAGGCCCACCCTTTCAGCCCTATTTCTGAAAGTCATAGCATCCATCTAGGGGCACTTCCATTGCTATCTTGAGTTTCCTCCATTATTGCTGCCACCACCTTTAGTTGCAGTGACATTTATCCTGGGACACCAGCAGGGTCTGGAAGCCCAACATCAAGGTGAGGTAAAGATAATCTGCATGGATACTATAAAATTATAGGATAGAAACTGTAATACCTCAGATTAACACTGCAAGAAAGGAAGACACATAGACAACATGAAAATACAACAGAGGAAAGTGCCCCAAACAAACCAACACACTACAATAACAGAACCCATGGACAGCGTAGTTGGTGAAATGTCAGAGAAGAGAGTTCAAAATGTTCATAATTAAAATGATCTGTGAATTAAAGAATAACATAAATGAGCAAATATAGGCAAAAATTGATTACTTCAACAAAGAGACAAGACAGCAAATATAGGCAATCATTGATAACACCAACAAAGAGACAATGGAACAAATATAGCCATCCATTGATCATACCAACAAAGAGATAACGGAGCAAATACAGGTAGAAAAAGATTACTTCAAGAAAGAGATAGAGATTCTGAAAAACAAAAAGAATTAAAAATCCCTAAAATGAAGGAAACAATAAACCAAATTAAATAACTCAACAGTAAGCATCACCAATAGACTAAATCACTTAGAAGACAGAATATCAGATAATGAAGACAAAATATTCAATCTGGAAAATAAAGTTGAACACACAGTGAAGATGGCAAGAAACCATGATCAGAATATCCAAGAATTATGGGATAGCACCAAAAGAGCAAATCTAAGAGTTATTGGGATAGAGGAAGAAGGCACAGAGTTTCAAACCAAAGAAATGCACAATCTCTTCAATGAGATAATATCAGAAAATTGCCCAAACATGAAGTATGAAATGGAAAAATCAAATAGAAGAGGCTTGTAGGACATCAAATGTACAAAATTATAACAGATCTACACCAAAGTACATTATAATGAAAATGCCTAGCATACAGAATAATGATAGAATATTAAAGGCCAAATGAGAGAGAAATCAGATCACATATAGGGGGATACCAATTCGTATCTCAGCAGATTTTTCAACCCAGACCCTCAAAACTAGGAGATCACGAAAAAACACAGCAAGAATTCTGAAAGAAATGAATGCCAACCAAGAATATTATATCCAGCAAAATTAAGCTTCAATTTTAATGAGGAAATAAAAACCTTCCATGATAAACAAAAGTTAAAAGAATTTACAACTAGAAAGCCTGCCCAACAGAACATCCTCAGCAAAATATTCAATGAGGAAGAAATTAAAAACAACAATGAAAATCAGCAGAGGAAGGTATTACACTAAAGGAAAAAACTAATCAAAAGAGAAACCAAGTCAAGTTAAATAACAAAAATAAACAAAAATGAGCAGGAATACAAATCATGTCTCAATAATAACCCTGAATGTTAATGGCCTAAACTCACCAATTCAAAGACACAGACTGTCAGATTGGATTTAAAAAAAAAAGACCCAACAATACACTGCCTTCAAGAGATTCATCTCATAGGAAAAGGTATCCACAGACTGAAAGTGCAAGATTAGGAAAAATCATATCACTCATATGGACTGTGGAAACAAGCAGGGTTTTCTATCCTCATATAAAATAAAGTAGACTTCAAGCTAAAGATAATCAAAAGAGATAAAGAAGGACAATACATACTGCTCAAGGGAGCCATACATCAATAAGACATAACAATTATAAATATATATGCCCCAAACAATAGAGCATCTACGTTCATCAAACAAACTCTTCTCAAGTTCAAGCATCAGATAGACCACAACACAATTATTCTGGGTGACTTTAACACACATCTTTCATCACTTGATAGATCTTCCAAACAAAAGCTGAAAAAAGAAATTATAGAACTCAATAATATAACCAAAAACTTAGCTTCAGAGACATAAGTAGAATATTTCATTTATCAATGAGTGAATACACTTTCTTAGCAGCACATGGATCCTTCTCTAAAATAGACCATATATTATGCCACAAACCAGCTCTTAGCAAATACAAATAATTAGAGATATTACTTTGCATCCTATCAGATCATAATGGAATGAAATTAGAAATCAGTGATAAAATAAAAAATAATAGCTACTCCAATACCTGGAGACCAAACAATATGCTATTGAGTAAACAATGGATAACAAGAGACATCAAAGAGAGATTAAAAAATTCTTAGAGGTAAATGAGAACATTGTTACAAGATATCAAAATCTCTGGGACACTATGAAGGCAGTATTAAGGGGAAAGAAAGTTCATTGCATGGAGTTCATTTCTTAAAAGAAGAAAAAGTCAACAAATAAATGACTTAATGTTACATCTCAAAACCTTAGAAAAAGAAGAACAAATCAACACCAAAAGCAGTAGGAGACAGGAAATAATTAAAATCAGAGCTGAAATCAGTGAAATTGAAACAAAAGAAACTATTGAAATAATTGACAAAACAAAAAGTTGGTTCTTTGAAAAAATAATAAAATTTATAAACCCTTAGTCATGCTAATGAAGAGAAGGAAAGAGAAAACTCAAATTACTAATCTCCATTATGAAAAAGGAAATATCACAACAAACACTACAGAAATACAGAAGATAATTAGAAACTATTTTGAAAATTTGTACTTCAATAAATAGTACATATCAAAGGCATTGACAAATTTTTAGAGTCATATAATTTGCCCAAATAGAATCAGGATGATCTACACAAGTTAATCAGATCAATTTCAAGCAAGGAAATAGAAGATGCCATCAGAAGCCTACCAATCATGAAAAGCCCAGGACCAGATTAATACACAGCTGAGTTATACAAGACCTTCAAAGATGAACTATCAATACTCCTCAAATTATTCCATGAAATAAGGAGGGAATACTTCCAAATACATCCTATGAGGCTAATACCACCCTGATTCCAAAACAAGACAAAAGCATATCAAAGAAAAAAAAGACATAAGACCAATATCTCTAATGAACATAGATGCTAAAATTCTGGCAAATTCAATACAAAAAACATATAAAAAATAATGCACCACAATCAAGTGGGGTTCATCCCAGGTATGCAAGGTTGGTTCAACATACAGAAATCAATAAATGTAATTCATCACATCAATAGACTTAAAGATAAGAACCATCTCAATAGATGCAGAAAAAGCATTTGACAAAATATAGCACTCCTTCATGCTCAAAACACTAGAAAAATTAGGGATAACAAGAACATATCTCAATGTTGTAAAGGCTATCTATGCTAAACCACAGGCCAACATCATTCTTAATGGAAAAAAAAATTGTTCGCATTCCCTCTAAAAACTGGAAAAAGACAGGGATGCCTTCTTTCACCACTTCTATTTAACATAGTTCTTGAAACACTAGCAGGGCAATTAGATGAAAGAAATTAAAGGGATATGTTTAGGAAAAGAAGAACTTAAGTTAGGACTATTTGCTGATGATATGGTTCTATACCTAGAAGACCCAACAAATTCCACCAGAAAACTTCTAGAACTAGTGAATGAATTCAGCAAAGTAGCAGGATATAAAAATCAACAACCATAAATCAAAGGCATTTCTGTATATCAGTGACAAATCCCCTGAAAGTGAAACAAGGGAAACTACTCCATTTACAATAGCATCAAAAGAAAAAATAAAATACTTGGGAATCAACTTAATGAAAGAGGTGAACGACCTCTACAATGAAAACTACAGAATGCTAAAGAAAAAAATCAAAGAAGACCTTAGAAGATGGAAAGATCTACCTTGTTCTTGAATAGGCAGAATTAATATTGTCAAAATGACCATACTACCAAAAATACTATGCAGATTTAATGCAATTTCAATCAAAATTCCAATGGAATTCTTATAAAAATAGAAAAACCAGTCATGAAATTCATCTGGAAAAATAAGAGACCCAGAATAGCTAAAGCAATCCTTAGCAAGAAGAGTGAAGGAGGTGGTATCGCTATACCAGATCTTAAACTATACTACAGAGCAATAATAACAAAAACAGCATGGTATTGGCACCAAAATAGACTTGTAGACCAATGGTACAGAATAGAGGACATAGAGACAA